ATGGCCGTTGAGGTAGCTATAAAAGTTCTCAGTTACCTACACCGAACACTTTTTGATTGGCGGTCGGTATGTGTCAAAAGGAAGCAACTGGACACAAAAAGAGTCTGCGTCTGCGTAAGGAATGGCTGATTTCATATTGATTAACTACATGAAAATAAAATATTCATTAATAACTTGTATCCCACACAAGACTCAAAAGTTTCTTTGTTTGCGCAGCGCCTAATTCAACCGCCAAATAGCATAGTGTATAGAGAGAAGAATAGAATACACAGGGTTATTTTTCAAATAGTAGCCAAATTTTAAACTTAAGTTCAAATATATAAATAATTGTATACAGTTATTTGCAAGGCTTCTACTTTTTTTGTTAAATATTACAAAAATACAGTCGAATTGAGAACCTCCTTCTTTTTTTGAAGTCGGTTCTAAATAGTTCAGCGCAACCGAGGTACTGTCACGCTCTCATAGAATACGAATAATTCCATGAACCACAGCATTCACTTACCATTCGAATGCACTGTGTGCTTGTTTGTCAGCCTTATTCCTTAAAAACACCTTATTTTCCCTTCCGTGAGAGCTGTGGTAGCTCAGATGGTTAGCGCTCGCTGTAAATTTCACAGTACGCGAGTAACCCGGGTTCGATTCCCGCTGGCACCAATGAAATTGTTAATTCCAATTATAAGTGCTGAATTACCACGTGCTCGGCGGTGGAGGAAAACATTGTGAGGAAACATGAATGTCTGAGAAATAATGAAAAAATAATATTTCTAAGACATGTCAAATTCGCCAACACGCATTGGGGCAGAGGAGGCCTGTGCCCAGCAGTGGGACGTATATAGGCTGTAACTTTTTCCCTTCCTAAGAGATGGAATTTTAATCTACATTTATATGGACTATCCCTGAATTTTACAAAAAAAAAAGATTATACATCTTATAAAAAAATTATCATTAAAATTGGTTCAACTCTTTCAGTGAAATCGGTGTACATACATAAAAAATACGCGTCGAATATAGAATCTAATTTAAATATATAATTAAATAATTATAACTTAAATTAATTAATTTAAACTAAATCCTATATTTTCAAACAAACCCGTGAGTTATCAAACAGGCATTAAAAGCAGTATATCTAAACAAGTTGAGGGGGCTCACCGGCTGACCCACATTCACGGGTCGCGGTTCAAGGTCGCTGCACTGCCGTCTGGACCCCGCAATCAATAACTTGCATCGTGCTAGGTAACTACGACTGGATTTGGTAACAATCTGATATTGTACGGTTGTTGTTCCACGTTTATTAAGGCCAGAATAATATTAATTATTATTACCTACTTATAATAATTGTAAATAATAATTGTAAAATAATAAATAACAAACGTAATAATTGAATGTCATTTCACGAAGAAATAAATTAGTTCTATCAATAATCCATTATTTCTAAATAAATTCTTGCAATGTAATCAAAGATTTAAGTTCTTTCAATTTTTAAAATATATATTTCCTCACAATGCTTATCTTTCCAACCGAGTACCTACGTAGTAATAATTCCTTCCGTTATTAACTTAAAAAGTATTATTAAATTTAAAAGTGTACGTCAACATCCTCCCGCTTGAAAGGTTATTTTATATAATGTATCATTAAAGTCTACAAAACTCCACTGCTGACTATAAAACTCCCCCATAGACTGCCTCATAAAGGGGATATTGCCATAGTTGTAACGGTAGCAGACTGGTTGGCAGCCACAGTTTTTCATATTGTTGAGTATTTGTCAGGAATGTTATACTGCCGATATTTTATAGTTTCTCCCTGTCGCCTTTTACTTCACCCACGGGACGATGTGAAGTACTGGTGGATATACTTACACCGCCACTACCTTGCACTTCATTCATAACAGCTTCTGAAAAGTCCACTGCAGAACATAGACCTTACTCATAGATCGCCCATATAGGGGAACCACTTGCCATACTTGCCACGCTACTAAGCGGGAGAAACGGCAGTTTTTTTAACCGACTTCAAAAAAAGGAGCAGGTACTCAATTTGACGATATATTTTATGTGTGTTAGGTCCCTCAAAGTTTTCACTTCTATAATTACAATTAATACTGAAAATAACATGCAAGGTAATAAACATAAGGCACAAATATTTGTTTAACTTATTGTAAGCCGTTAAGGTTAAAGTTAAAGTTACAGCCTATATACGTCCTATATACGTTACAGCTGAGCACAGGCCTCCCCTCATTTCTGAGAGGGTTTTAGGGCAAGGAAATGTCCGCCACGTTGACCCAATATTGACGGCTCCGTGACGCAGTGGCTTAGCAATGAGTTGTTGCGCTGGGGGCCGTGAGTTCGAATCCCGCACGGATCAAGTATTTGTATGGCATACAAATAATTGTTCCGGGTCTGGATGTTTGTCCTCGTGCAATTTATGTTTGTAAACTGCCTCCACGACACAGGAGAAAATCCTAGTGTGGGGGTAACGTTTTAAAAAAAAATGCGTGTTGGCAAACTTCACGTCTTCAACTTTTTTTCCTTATTTCTCAGAAATGCAGATTTCCTCAAGATATTTTCCTTCACCGCCGAGCACGGGGTAAATCAGCACTTAAAAGTTAAAATTGCAATTAACAATTTCATTGGTGCCGGCAGGGATCGAACCCGGGTTGCTCGCGTAATGTGAAATTTACAGCAAGCGCTAACCATCTGAGCTACCACGGTTCGGATGGTTAGCGCATGTAAGTCAGCGCATGTAAGCTAGCGCATGTAAGCCAGAGCTTGACCATAATCCCACTTGGTAAGTGGTGATGTTGCCTTATACGGTTAATCGCACGTTAGCGTAATAAAAGCCTATTCACTCTTGCTTTGAAGAAAGATAGACGCCGGCAAATTATTCCACCCCCTTGCTGTACGCATTACAAAAGACGAAGCAAACCGTTTGGTTCTAATGCGTGGAATATCGGCAACAAAGGGGTAAAGACCTGCCGACAATCTGGTTGTCCGATGGTGGAAAGGAGAGGGAGGAGTTAAAGCATGTAATTCCTGCGCACACTCACCGAAATGCATCCTATAGAACACTCAGAGGCTGGCTACTCTGCGCCTGTGCTCGAGGCTGACAAGATTGGTTCCAACCAAATCATGGTCACCTATGAGCATCTTTGCACGTCTTTCCACTGAATCTAACGCTGCTTATATTGTTCTCTTTAAACTTAATTTATGAAATGTTAATATTTAATTAATTTGCATTCATGTTTTTTTTTTCCTATTTATTTGGCCAGTCTTGATCCGACTGTACAGAAATTCGGCATTATTAAAAATGTTGTGCTGGATGAGCGACGTTATGGTATTAGCATACGTAACGAGTACACTCGGGGCAGTCTCGGTGTAAGTTACGTGGCGGATAAGCTTCAGGAAAGTCGATTAGGGTTGGACATGACATGTCCTAAGTAATCCTGTAGAGTACATTAGTAGGATACATTGATACCGTTGTTCTAGGAGCAAGATCTCGCGGTATGACTTGAAAATCATAGGCTGACTACCGAGAACATTTCTGAACGAGCGATGTGAAGACGGATAAACAGGAAAGCAGACTTTGGCAGTGACTAGGATAAAGAATAGAAGAAGAAGTATTTGTAAGTGATTTATTTTTATATTATGTCTATATACAAATAATAATTTATACAAAATTTTGTAACATGGTCTGAAAAGAAGAAAATTTGTATGGATGCTCACTAATTAAACTCTATTTTCTGTTTAAAGCTAATCATTTGGATGCTGGAATTTATGGCAGAATTAGGCTTAGACAAATTCTCACACAGTTTTGTTACTTACATTCCTATGCAAATGCACTAATTCCCATTTTTCAAGGTTTGTACAAACCAAGCATGTAAATTACTGTGTAAATTAGATTTTTTTTAATACAACAAAAGGCAAAGGTCTCCCGCAAATAAAGCTTAATATTGTAAGAGGATTACGAGACGGCGCGGCGCAACACTCGCTGCGGATGCAAATCGCTCTGGAACCATCTGTCGCACACTTGACCCGGTTTAACTTATAGCATCGTTTGTCATTGATTGCTGTGACTTCCCTTTAGATGTCACGTTATTCCCTTTATATGGTTTGTATTGTATGGCTTACCCGTTTCGTTTATGGTACGGTGTTTGTTTTTAATTTGACTAAAGAGTGTTGTGTTACCGTGTAGTGACGGTGTAAGAATATCCACTAACCCATATTGTCCCGTGTGTGTTAAAAGACAACAGAGGGAAATTGAAACAGGTGATGGGCAGCAGGTCTTCCTGATAACAATAATAATAAAAAGAAACTGTCAGTCGTAGGACTGCACGTCAGAAATGAAAACTTCCTAGCTTCACAAATAAATAAAAAATATTTTTATATACTTAGTCGGGTCATAAGTTCTGTCAAAACCTTATTATTTAAAATTTTTGAATACTGGCTAGATGAACTTCACCAATTTTAAAAATATAAAGTTTGCGCTTGCCGAAAATAAAAAAGACATTAATTATTATTCATTTTCAAATATGGGGTGGTCGAAGAAAGAAGATAGAGTAGCGGTTATTGCGTTGCACAGCTGTGGTTACGCGCCAAAGGAGATTTTCATAGAAAAATTGAAAATAACCCCACGATTTGTTTATCGCACTATCAAACGATTCTCTGAAGATTCAAGCTTCGAAGATCGTAAGAGGACCGGCCGACCTCGTACAGTTAGGACACCCGCGATCATCAAAGCAGTGAAGGCGCGAATCCAACGAAATCCTGTTCGTTAACAAAAAATCTTAGCTCTTCAGATGGATGGATGGATTTGGCTTGGAGTCTCATATTCTGGCTTAACTGAGGTGTTTTTCTGCGAAAAAGGTGTAAAAACCAGTGCCGAGGTGTACCAAAACACCGTCCTAACAAACATAGGAACCTCTTTCTCAAACAATGTTTAAAAACAGACATTGGATATTCCAATAGGACTCTGCACCAGCTCATAGGGCATGAAGCACACAAAACTGGTTGACCGCCCGTGGAATTGACTTTATCGGACATGAAGACTGGCTCTCTTCTAGTCCAGATTTAAACCCACTGGATTACAAGATATGGCAACATTTGGAGGAGAAAGTCTGCGCTAAACCTCGTCAGAATTTGGAATCTCTCCGGGCATCTTTGGCTAAAGCAGCGGCAGAAATAGATATGAATGTGGTGCGTGCTGCGATTGATGATTGGCCGCGTCCATTCAGGGCAAGTATTCAAAATATGGAAGGGCATTTTGTATAATGTAAATAAAATTGTATTCCAAATTAAATTACCTTTCATTTCATATATGATTTCTATATAATTATCAAAAAGAATATCATTAATTTTATAAAAAGATTTTGACAGAACTTACGACCTGACTAAGTATATGTATGTATTTGAATGTGAAGGTCACGCGAGGTTAGCGCTTTTTCCCCATCCCCAATTTGCTATATATATAGCTCGTTTGTACAATTATATCTCTTTTAAATATATGTATATACACACATCTGTATATATGTATCTAAGCGTAACTCAGTCCGTAAAAGAAAGAAAGAAAGAAACATTTATGCAAAGTTCACTACTGTACTTAGGTCACCCCTGTTATTGGGCACGCCACTATCGCGGCGATAAGACCCCTCTTTGAGGAGTGGCTTGAGAGACGCCACGGCGTCCTCACCTTCCGCCTGACGCAGGTCCTCACCGGACACGGTGTGTTCGGGAGGTTCCTGTACCGAATCGGGCGGGAGGAAACGGCCGGGTGCTCCCACTGCGAGGATCGACCGGAGGACACGGTGGAGCACACCGTGGAGGTGTGCCCTGCCTGGGCGGAGCACCGCCGTGTCCTCGTAGCGGCGATAGGCGGCGGCGACCTCTCGCGTCCGGCCCTGGTCGAAGCCATGGTCCGGAGCGAGACGGAATGGGATGCCGTCACCACCTTCTGCGAAGCAGTGATGCTAGCGAAGGAGGTGGTGGAGCGGGAGAAGGAGAGAGCAGCAGCTTTCCTTCCCGGCCGCCGCGGGAGACGCCCCGGGCGTCGGGGGCTACGTCGTGACCCCCGGCCACCGTAGGCGCGGGCCTGTGGACGGCGAGCAATGGGTAGCTCGCCGTCCGTCCGTCTAACGACGACAGGCCGTGTCGACGGCGCGTTTTGTTCCACGCGCGCCTCAAAGAGCTGTCAGCAGCGTGAAGGGGCCCGCAAGGGCCGACGCCTGCCGGGGCTGCGGGCTGTTTGAAAGAGATACCGCGGCTCCGGAACGTAAGGGCACTGAAGGAACACGGATGGTTTTTAGTCAGTAAAAGTCTGACACTCCCTTCCGCTCCACCCAGAGCGAAAGGCGTCATTTGATGATTTTCCATCCGCAAAAAAAAACCCCTGTTATAAGAAGAAGTGTGTTGAGTTATATGTGAATCCATTATTTAATTATTTATTGAATTAATCTTTATTGTACTTTACAGAACAGTACGGAATCAAAAGATTTAATGCTGAAAGCATTCTCTGCCGTCAAAGGGCAGTAATAACACTAAGAAGACGGTAACATAGAACAGAAATAAATAATATAAAGAGTAAACATGTACTTAAAAAACATGTAATTAAATATTTAATTATAAAATTATGATTATTATAAAATTATATTTGTTTTACAGAAGAGTGCCATAAGAGCAATTTATGATTTAAAGCCTAAAGAGTCGCTGCGACAAAAATTTAAGGAAATTAACATATTAACTTTGGCCTCTCAATATATTTTGAAAATAGGAAAATCGAAAATAAATTTGGAAATGTTATGTATACGTTCACAAAAATAAAAGTAGTTTTACAAAAATAAGTGATATTCATTCTGTACATACGAGTACTAGGAACAGACACAAGTAATTCATTTTCGAGGCGACGAAACGTTTTTACAACAAAATCCCAGAAAAGATACAAAATTTAATTGCTCAAATTTCAAAACATTTATTAAACTAAATTTGTATAAAAAGCGTTATTATAATATTAAGAAATTTATGGACGACCCCTGGGAGTGAGGTGATCGCTACCAAGCTATTTTTAATTGGCTTTGTATTGTTGATTGGGTAACATACAAGATTGTAAGCTGTTATTTAAAAAAAAGTCCCTCTGGGTTTCTTGCTAGTTCTTCCCAGGATAGAGGTTTTTTTTCGAACCAGTGATAATTAAACACAAGAGTCACTTTTAATAACTATTATTTATAATCTATATTGAATAAAAAAGTTTCTGTTTCTATATATATAATTAAATTTTAAAATCTTCTTGGACTCCATTATCATCAGGTAGAATGTTAAGGCATTTGTCAGTGTAAAGTAAAATAAAGGTGCAGCCTATTTACGTCCACAGGCCTCCTCTCATTTCTGAGAGGGTTTTAGGGCAAGGAAATGTCCGCCGCGCTGCCCACCCCGCCAATGCGTGTTGGCGAACTTCACATGTCTTCGAAAATATTTTTTTTCTTATTTCTCAGACGTGCAGGTTTCCTCACGATGTTTTCCTTCACCGCCGAGCACGTGGTAAATCAGCACTTAAAATTGCAATTAACAATTTCATTGGTGCCGGCGGGGATCGAACCCGATTACTTTGAAGCTTACAGCGAGCGTTAACCATCTGAGCTACCACGGCTCCCTTGTCGCTAGCTTGTCAGTGTATGGTTGTTAAAAAGCTGTCGCTGAAAGCTAATTTCAAGCCCCACGTTTGATTCCCGCGGGCACCACTCAAAGTGTTAATTGCAAAACAAGTAAAGTGCTTATTTGACACATTCTCAACTTGAGGTAAAAACATCGTGATGCAGACATCCAGCAAACTGAGAATTTGCAAAATTTTCCAGACATGTGAAGTGCGCCAACACGCTACGAAAGCGCTTCAGATTTCCCTATTCCACAAACCCTCTAAAAATTAGAAGAGATTCAGCAGTGGAACTAGTAAGTAAGAAACCTACCGGAAGTAAGAAATTTTCATTTTATTATTTAAATATTTTTAACTTCGAACTCTGAACCTACATCGTAGATACGTTGACTACTTTGCCATAGACAAGGTATTACTTCCTGTAAAGAGTAATTGTTCAGTCCTATAGGAAGCGCCGAGAGTGAGAGCAAATAAAGTCGATGGGGCAGGACGGACAAGGCCTCGGCCCCAGATCTAGGTCATCCGGTCACGAGGGGCTAGGGTTTGCACTGTCTGAATTGACATTTAGGTAAATCGCTTGGAATTTACGACCTACGATTTGTATAATTGTTACTGTCTATTATGTGTTAAGTTTTCTCGTAGTCATTTAAATACGTATATGCATATAAATAAAATTGTAGTGTGTGTTATCGAAAAAGCTCCCTTATATTGAGGTTAGGAGGTTACTTTGATTCTATTTATTATATTAAAAATACGAGGGTGGATTGAAAAGTACTCGGCCTAACCAAGAAAATAAACAAATACTAAATCAGTTATATTTCTATTTTTCTACATAATCACCATCAAGTTCAATACACTTTTGCCACCTCCCCTTCCAAGCATTTAGACCGTTGAAAAAAAATGATTCTTCCTTAGAGTCAAAATATGCGTCTACAGCTGCTTTGACCTCGTCGTTTGTCGAAAATCTTTGACCTCCCAAGTGCTTTTTTAGGTTAGGGAACAGAAAGAAGTCTGATGGTGCCAGATCAGGTGAATACGGCGGATGCGGTAACAGTTCAAAGCCACAGTTGTGAATTTCAGCCATTGACTGTACTGACGTGTGAACACGGGCGTTATCTTGATGAAACAGGACTTTTCTTCTGAGCATTCCTCGACGTTTTTCTTTTATTTCCTCTCGTAAATGACGTAGTAAGGTGCAGTAGTAATCAGAGTTTATATTCTGACCCCTTTCAAGATAATCAATCATAATCACACCTTTCGAGTCCCAGAATACTGAAGCCATCACCTTATTTGCCGACAAAATCGACTTAGCTTTTTTAGGGGGTGGTGAACCAGGTCTTCTCCACTGTTTTGATTGTTGTTTTGTTTCCGGTGTACAGTAATGATGGGTTCATTACTGTGTTTCGTCCATAGTAACAAAACGATTCAAAAAATCATCTGCATCGGCTTCAAATAACTCCAAACAGTCGCGTGAAATAGTCAATCGCGTCCTTTTTTGTTCAACTGAAAGCAGTCGCGGAACCCACCTCGCAGACACCTTGTGGAAACCCAACTCGTTGACAATGATGTTTTGAGTTCGTTCATAAGAGATGCCTATAATCTCGGCTATCTCTCTAATTTTTAATCTGCGGTCTCCCATTATTAAATCAAGTACTTTTTTAATATTTTCGTCAGTAGTTGACGTCGAAGGCCTTCCAGAGCGGGGTTCATCTTTCACACTCTCTCTACCACGCTTAAATTCTGCTATCCATTTTTTGACGGATGAATATGACAGAGCACAATCGCCTAATGTACTGACCATGTCATCATGGATGGCTTTTGATGATAGCCCCTTCTTATGGAGGTACTTAATGACGGCACGCTGCTCGATTTGCTCCATTCGCGGAAATTATGTCCGATTACTTTGTTAATAAATTTATAAAATCACAACTAATTAACGCACACGTTTCGAACTTCACACAATGAACTAGTCTGAACTGAACTAAATAATGTGGGTAGATTTGATTTTTAGAATTGAATGGATCTGTGTTAGGCCGAGTACTTTTCAATCCACCCTCGTAGCATGCAAATAATCCTTTTTAGGACATTTTTAAATTGTTTGTCTGTCTGTCCGGGCTAATCTTCATAAATTATAAGCATTTAGAGTTTATACTTAAGCAAATATTTCGAAGATGAACATATATAGAGACACCCCAAAACCGTCCCGCCACCGATAAACTTCCGACCGTCGAGGGACGTCGGAACAGGAAATACGAAAATCAACTTTTCCAAAGTATTTTAAAACGAATTTAAGCGATGGTGGAAAACTAGATATAAAAGTTGATATCAGAAAGCACTTCCTTTCGGAACTTTTTAAAAGATAGGCACTTTTTATAAAATCTCATTTACTTAATATGAAACAGGTGACTGTTTTTTATATCATTATTTCATCGTGTATGTTTTTATTCATACATAAAGTATAATACAAGTATATACATTCAGTAAGTTATAGTCAAGAAACGTTTCGTTTTCCATAACGATCCAATTTATTACATACGAGGTGCATGTAACAGTTTATATTACAAACTATTTAGTCAGCAACAATGAAAAAAATCTGCAAAACGGTTGACCCTGCAGGCCATCCTTGGAACTTCCCGCTTATTTTTGAGTGCAACGCTCGAAAATCTGTTTAATTTTCTATTTAATTGTATTTTGGTTATTATTTTTTGAAAATCTTCCAAACGGCTCAACCGACTTGAAACGACTTGAAAATCTAATCAGCTCGAAGTCTCAATGGACACTTTCGAACCCATGTCGCCAATCTCTATCGGTTGGTTCGTTCTAATGATATCGAACGACACACACACACACGCGCGCGCGCGTGTGCGCACGCACACGTGAACGAACACGCACATGCACACACACACATACACACACACACGTGAAATGTGATGAAAACTCGCATTCTCAAAATCGGACTGAAATCTATAACTTCATACTTTTGAAAATTATTAATATTATTAAAAGCGAGAACTTAAAAAAATTTAAACGGTTCACAAATAGTTGAACTGATATTTTTTAAAACAGGTTTTCATGCACTCATTTAATGCAAAACGGCTCGTAAAAAAAAAACGACGCGTTTCGCCTATTAGTTAGTAGACATTTTTGCTCCAATGTCGTTTGGAATATCTAACCACTCAATACTTATATATATATTGTATTGTCTGAGTTATTATCTCCAGAACTACTAAAAGGATTCCCCATACACCAAGTAGTACATGAATGTATAACTTTGTTTATACTATTTAATATTGATAATACCAATGAAAACTACTCACTCTGAATGAGCTTTTAGGTTACTGTGAAATTCGTGCATTAGTTAGAGCCATGGTAACTCAGAGGCTGACCGTTCGCTGTATATTTGACAGTAAGTGAGCAACCCGGGTTCGATCCCTGACG